GACAAACGTAGCACCTCAATAAGATCCAAATTTTCCGTGAGGTGATTTTTGGAGGAAAAATGCACAAGATAAGTTTGTGCATTAAATGCTGGTTTCTTGTTCAGCAGTTTTGTGCCATCCTTAAATTGTGGGTTTCACATTTTACCATGGAAAAAAGGTGCACACTTGTAAATGCAAACACACATACACACACAGTTAACTCATCAGTTGCACCCAGGCTTTATCTATCTATCTATCTATCTATCTATCTATCTATCTATCTATCTATCTATCTATCTATCTATCTATCTATCTATCTATCTATCTATCTATCTATCTATCTTTCCATCTATCTATCCACCATATATGTCTTCAATTTCGAAGGTTAACATTATGTTATATAATTTGCAGCGGCTGGAACTGCACTGCATCATGACAGCTGTTTCTGATATCTTTGTTACAATACCGTACCGAGCTATATGGGACAGTCAAAACATGAGAAACAGCTCTCAGTATGATGCAAACCACAACCACAAATACACACATATCGTTCAATAATTGTGACATGTTACAGGATGGAAACAACGCAACAGTGACATAAACATCATCATAGTTTAACCCCACCCCCACCCCCTGACAGCTGTCACCTCAGACATTGTGGAAGCGGAACCGTTTTAGGTGTCCCTAACTTTGTGACTACACTGGATCACACAGAGTATGAATCACACGGCATCACGTTATTCACGCTGCTTTAAAAATGAGCAGTTTTCATTGACATTATATGAGTGGTTATGTAAGACTCCTCCCATGGAGGCTGCCTTCAGAATAGCGTTCTCCCCTCTGGGCTCACATTGTACCCAATGAAAAAACAAAGAGACCCTGCATGAGACGAGAGCTGCCTGGAACACAGACGATGTTCTGTCTTTGCAGGATGCACCTGCCTCCCATTCGCTCACAACTACACTTGACAGCTGCACATCCTGGGAGGTTCAAAAAAAAAAAAAAAAAAAAAAAAGCTCCTCTTGATTCTGAAATAACAAGAGGGGATTTTGGAGGAGGGGGGCGAGGGGAGGGCTATTTCCCAAGAGCTTATGTGATCCAGTCAATAAAAGCTGCGCCGTGCTCCCTCGAGGTTTCATCTCCAACGACATCTGTAATTGGACTGCAACAAAAATCAACACAATCTGCATATATTTGCGGTGTTTGCCTCGAAGTAGGCCAACGAGACACAACAGAAATTTGGAGCGTGAATCGAATCCTTCTGCATGTCAAAATGCTACTGGGTCAACGATATTTCATTGGATGCTTCTTTCGAAAAAATAAAACAAAAACAAATAGTCACTCTAACTTGAGCAGTGTAGCCTACACACAAATCGATAATTAAACCTAAAAAAAAAAATGTCTGATGAGGATCTTAAAAAAATGCATGCTTCGGCACTCGAGGTCATTTTTTTTTTTTTAAACAAGTTGTCCATTTCTTGCCACGTCGTCGTAATGTTAAGGGACCTGGAAGTAAACAGTAACAGAAGGCATTCCCGCCCACTGGCTCCTCTGGCACCAGGCTGCCCCCGCTCTCCCTCCGTCAGCCTCACACCATCACCCACCCGCCCACATGTACACACGGACGAGCTTTAATACCTGACATTGTCACAAGGTCTTACCGGTGGTGTATGCTCCCTCACAAACGCCGTGTGTTCTCGCAAGAAAGACAACCACCACTCTTGGGGCTGGAGCGTGGTCATCTTACTGCCAAATAGGAGCCCAGTTTAATGAGACCCGCCAGCAAGGTCCCTTGTTGAATGAAAACACCGAAAAGGATGGCAGTGGGAGGTATTACAGGCGCGTTACCCAAAATTCCCTTGCAAGGAAAGCTCTGCCGCTTCCAAGTCCAGGTAACGGAAAGGCGAGCTCGAGCTCGAGCTCTGAGAATGCGTTTCCCGGTCGCTTGTGTGTGCAATGGTCAGGTGTCCCGATATTTTTGCCCGTATCGTGAACAAAAGATGGAGGCATATCGACTCACTGGTGAGGCAGGTGACAACAAACTTGGTTGTTTTACACGATTCATTTCTCTTATCATTTCGGCGAGCTTGAAGTAGGATGTGGACGTGGTTCGGGTATCTGTGTGAAGATCAACTGTTATGCCTATCAAAAAAAAAAAAAAAAGATTTCTCCAAAGTGCCCACTTTAATCCATCCTTATGAGCCCTTAATGCTTTTCCCTCTTGCTCTCGATCATCGTTCATCCTATGTAAGTGGCTTTGTCGCTCTCCCCATGCACTCTCTTATCCATCATTGCTCTCATTCAGATGACATGACGCGTGCTTGTGGGCTTCATTTCTTGTTCCCAGTTTGTTTGATGGACAGCTTCCTCAGGTGGCTTGCGTGATTTTCCGACTTTCTTCGTTCTCTTTTATGTTCTGTTCCTGCACGAGCTTTGGTCCCCACATTCCAAAAACGTGTATGTTGCTAGGTTAACCAAAGATTGGAATGGCTGTATTTTCTTGCCCGGCCCAAGTCGAGCACAAAGCGGAGACTAATTGTGCTCAAGGGTGGAATTTTTCTTTCTTTTGTTATTTTCACAGACAAGCGCAGTTCGCGACGTTGTTGCCATGAACACAGCCGACTTGTTTCCCGGCCAATGGAAGCGGCTCCTCTCATTCCCTTTCGAATCTCAGCGCGTGAGTGATACGCAGTATTTGACACCGCGGAGGCAGCGATAGACTTGCTGGAGTCGATGCAGGAGATCGAAGCGCACAAAATACGTTTATTAGGGATACAATGACATCTACCGCACATATCTATCTGTGGAGTTCGAAATCTGCCTCCACCTTGATCAAATTCACCATAATTGCTTTACACAACCGGCGCCACAAATTAGACCTGCTTCAACCTGGTCGTAAACTTTGTCTACTTTCAGCCACCAAATTGTCAGGTGTGCCGAAGACATGTACAATGATGACAAATGAGATGTTTTACAGCAGTGCACATAATTGCATTTCAATAAGAAGAGATCATGTTTAGCTTTCTGAAATTGATTGCGTCCTCTTTTTTTTCCTCCTCAAAATGCTTCAAGCTCACTCGGGTTAAAAATAGATCCAAACCAACCACCTTGCGGAAGCTCGGGCCGAACTTAATTTTCGTGGCCGGGAATGAAAAGCTCGCATGCTGCGCTGGAGGGACTCGGGGGACAGACACAATAACCTTGAATGACAAATCATTTTTGTGCTGGCACAAGGAGGAAGAGCAAAAGAAGTGCTTTGCTGTGATGATTCCGTGCCGGCTGCCTTTTTGCCATCTTTCTCTCTCTCTCTCTCTCGAACGCAGCCTTCATTCTAGTGCGCTTTTTCGTCTCACGGCAAATCTTGCCATCTGTTGCATGGAATGAAAATCGGACGACTTTTTGAACAACTTTCAGCTTTCTAACAAGCTGGGACTCCAAATCCCAAGAGTTGTTGAACACATCAATCGTCCCGAAAATGTGCATGGTTTTATTCAAATTAGTATTGAAATAGTTGTCATCATCAGGCGACTCGCATTTTGACATCACGAGGACCAAGATGATCAAACAGGTGATCAACAGTACCTTGCCAGTGCGAGGCTTTCAGCAGTGGAAGGAAAGTGGCCAATGATCTTAAGATAAGATAAGATAAGAAAATCTTTTTAGTCTCACAATGGAGAAATTCCCAAATCACAGCAGCAAAGTTATGAAAGGAAGAAGTCGAAGAACAAAATGTATATCTCGCGGCGCCAGCTTGAAGTCAAAATAACAAAATAATACAACACAACACAAAACGCAGGGATCTTCATTTCAGACCTTACATTTCTGCATTTCTGCTTTTTGCAGATTATGTGCGGCTGTTGGCTTCATCAAGCCATGATCTCCAACTTTCACTGGGGCGGTTAGCAGCCGAGTGTGAAGTGGTTCGGGATTAAAATCAGCACCTCCAAATCTGAGAACAAGGTCCTCAATCGGAAAAAGATGGCATAGTATTGGGGTCTTGTTCGCAAGCGAGGGAAGAATGGAACAGGAGATCAACAGGCGTATCGGTGCAGCGTTTGCAGTGATGTCAACTTTGTATTGATGAAGGAGATTTACGTTGCTACCCTTACCTCTAATCATTAGCTGGGGGGTGTGACCAAAAGAACGAGATCCCGAATACAAGCGACCGAAATGAGCTTCCGCCGTAGGTCGTCTGGGCTCTCCCAAAGAGATCGGGTGAGAAACTTAGTCAGGAGGGGCATGGAATGAAAATCTACTTCTTCACATTGAGGGGAGCCAGATGAGGTGGCTCAGGCAATTGATCAGGATGCTTCCTCGACAGTTCCCAGGTGGCCCTGGGGAAGGTCCAGGACACACTGTAGAGACGATGTCTGCCAGCTGGCCTGGCACCACCTTGGCATCCCCTTGGAGGAGCTGGATGAAGTGGCTGGGGACAGGGTAGTTTGGGCTTATCTACGAAAGCTGCTGCGCCCGTAAATCAAAAAGTGATATACCTTGAGGCAAATTGATCGAACTGCACAATAAGTGTCTTTCTCATTAGAAAGGTGCTCGTAAATAAGTCCTCTATACTGTACTGTAAATGCCATTGAATTTCGATTTTTGGTGGTACGAAGCTGGCCAAGGCGCAGAAAGCGTAAAAGCGAGGAATATGCTTGTGACAAAGCGGCAGAATGGAGAATCAGAGTGCACATGGCGCTTTTACAGGAGGAAAGAAGAGAAAGATGTGAGGCAGAGTGAGGGAGCACAGGGGGAGAGCGAGGGTGGGGCGGCGGGGTGGGGTGGCGGGCTTTGGTGTTGCGTGGAGGCGTGGGAGACATGCGAGTTGAGTCAACCCCCAAGCCACCGCTGAACCTCCTCCCCCTCCCCCCCTATGATTTCACTGTGAACGACAGTGGTGAAAAGATGGGTGACGTGTGTCCTCTGTGCCAAGGCATGCCCATGATGATGATGTCATCACCATCATCATCATCATCATCATCATCATCACCAAATAAGCAAAGACATGAGGAGAGAGCTCAGACTCGCGTTCGGATCTTTTATTTGTTCCTTCATGTATTTATTTTGGTGGCACTATTACCCTGTACACTTCATCAAGTCCTTTGAAAAGCTTCTAATCTAGTCAGCACTTGTCTGTCACAAAACTAAAATATTTCACTCATGAATTTAACACACATACTGTATATAGATATGATCGCTTTGGCGCATGAAACAGGTCACGGTTCAGGAGGCTACAATCCGAGGAGAGGATGAGGAAAAGGGACTTTGTTTTCCTTTGGTGTCGTGTTGCGGCCGTGTCATTAGTTGGCTTCCTTCGCTGCAAGTCTCTTGGCTTTATTGAAGAGGTAACGGGCTTGGCCTTCATCATAACGCTTTTGCTCATCCTCGCCATTAACCTGAATATAAAGAAAGTAAGAAACGGACATTGCAAAATATAAGCACATTAGCTATCAACTTAAAATTTGCTGTTGACCAAATCTCTCGCTCGCTCTCTCTCTCTCTCTCTCTCTCTCTCTCTTTCTCTCTCAGAAACTGAAAAAGTTGAAACCTCCTTTTTTCACCTTCACTGAACTCAAACAGGCTTTAAAATTCACAGGGTTGCCCACGTCGTTCAATTCCGCCGCCTCGCCACTTAAAACGGCGCGGCCACCCACAGCAACAATGCCCGTGGCAACTTTGGCAGCGCAGTCGGTCCTCTCCCTCGTCTACCTCACCAGACAGGGGGAGCACGCGTGCGGCTGTTTATTTTTAAATACACTCTGCAAGCGAATATCCGCATTCATGGCTGATTCAGACCGAGACTCTCCAATCTGCTCACACCAGGGGGGGGGTTGGCACATTCAAGAGCACCTGCCACTCAGCGGCGCACCGAGCGCTGAGCTGACAGATGGCACTTTTAACTTTACGGAGGGAGCAAGGTGGCAGCACATATGACAAAATGTCAGCATTTTGGGACGGGGGCAAAGGTCACCTCTCAAATGGGATGACCATTCAAGGTTATTTAGGTTGGCTTGATTTGAGTGTCGAGGGTGTCGTGGAATGGAATGTAAAATGATGTGTGTTATCCCATCAGACTGATTTTCAAAAACAAGCGACACAAAATGAATTGAGTTATTTTGAAACAAAAAGAAGAAAAATAAGAAATGTACAAAGGAGTTCATCACTAGTCAGTGTTTTAAGCCATGATCAATGGCTTTATCTCTTTAAATTTACCGAGACACACAGTATTGCTGAGAGCGCCACTAGAAAGTGTACATTGCGCTCCCTTGAAATTGCTATTCACACTGCAGCTGCAGATTAATAACTATGATTACTCTACCGCTAATGACTACCAGCTCTCCGATAGCAGTCCTGCGTGTTTCGTTGTGTTATTGTACACCAAATGTCTGCGTCTCAAAGAATATGGTAAAACTTGATTATTATTATTAGGCAAAATGTTGGACACATATCAAATTGTCATTTCGGAAAAAAAATATATACTCTTGACTGCTCCATACTAGTTTTCTTTGTTTTGTTTTCTTTTGTTTTTTATCATAATACAACTCCAATACCATTTACATGACCCCAATTTTACACCTTGCATCCCCAAATCTTTACGATGCACGGAAATCAACACTGGGCTGCAGTCACGAATGTCCCTTGTTTCGCTTGCCGCCATGAACCTGTTGACTATCAAGTTGAAGGCTTGCCGTCTAAAAATAAACACTGCATTACTTGGATTACAGCAGGTTGCCATGACAGCCAGCCTTGTTTTCATGTCAGGGGACACCGGTGGAGTCGCTGCCACTAAGGAAGGCAGGAGGAAAGCAATCTCAAAGGAAGCAAGGAAGGAAAAGTTGGAGGACAGGAAGGAAGGAAGGAGGAAGGAGAAGAACAAAGGTGAAGGAAAAGGGGCAGAGTTGCGGGAGACTAAGACTAGACGGGAGCGAGAAAAATGAGAATGAGGCATGAAGAAAGGGAGCCGCAGAGGATGGAATGCTGGGTGATGTAAGAAATGGAAAGAATAAAAGGAAGCGAGGGCAGAACTGGGGAAGGAGATCCAAGTTCGATGGATTCAGATGAGAAGCGTGAGAGGGCAGGGGAAGAATGGAGAGGGGAGGGGCCAGGAAGTGTGGCGTGAGTGTGGCCCGCCTCTCAAATATACCAAGAGAGCAAGCAGTGCAGTGACAGCATCCAAAGTGCGCTAACGTGTCATATAATGCACTGGAGTGTATGTAGAGGACGATGGAAGTGGAATACGGCAAAGAATGCTTTTCGCTTATCTTTTTTTTTTTCTGCGGCCCAACACAAAAAAATGATGATGCTTTTTTTTCACGGGAGATACCACCAGCCCCCCGTGTCCACTGCCCCCACGCTGTCCTCCTTCCCCAATTTACATGACATCCCCCACCATGCGCGCACACACACACACACACACACACACACACACACACACACACACACAATTGTTGAGACCCTGCTGAGAGAAAATGGCCAATTCCATAAATAGACACAGAGTGGGCTCAGTGGGGAGGAAGCCTGGTTGACAGAAAGGGGTGCTGGGGTGCCAGGGTGGTGGGGGGGAAGCACCAGCAGTCAAAAATAGCACAAGCTGTCTTTCACCTGAACTATTTATAGAGCACAACTGGAGCTGAAACGGCCCCCAAGTCATCAAATATTCATCGGTGAAGACGCTTACCGTTTGATTGCGTCGGCGTCTATTCCAAGATCATGTATGGTGACTCAAATGGAAATGTAAGCCGCAAGGTTTAATTAAAGCCACAAGCGCTGATCAATGCGTCTTTTTCAACGCCGTGCCTCTTGGCGGATGTTACAGTACATACAAAGATGGAGGACTTGATGCGAGCGCAGTGTTCCGCTGCATATTAGGAAGGCAATGTTGAAAAAAATTAACCTATTTGCTGTTCTTTTCACTAAATCCTGTTTCATATAAAAGTCATCCTTTTATAGTACCAGGGGTGTCAAACTCATTATGGTTGCACGGCACTTTGTAGTTACGGCTTCCCTCAGAGGGCCGGCATGACAGTGAAATGAAATAAATGTTTTAATTGTCTCATCCTATTATTATGGATGACTAGTTTTGAAATCAGAAGTCAAGGATAATAGTTTGTTCAATACTTGTTCAAGTTACCGCAAAAAGGGTTATTTAAAAAAGTGAAATTTCAACGTTCAATACTTATTCAAGTTACCTCAAAAAGGGTTATTAAAAAAAAAAAAAAAAAGTGAAATTTCAACGTTACTTACTACAGCTGATCATTTGAAATTTTGGTACCGATTTTAGCAAGAATCATGGAAGTTGACATGATTTGCTTTTGCGGGCCACATAAAAAGATGTGGCGGGCCAAATGTGACCCCCGGGCCTTGAGTTTGACACCAGTGTTTTATACGGCTTGGGGTGTCCATGGACAATTACAATCATTCTGGCGTGGAAATAAGTCATGGATTTTCATTTTTCTATGGTACCCGGTTCCTGTTGGATCTCATTTAGGGCCCTGAAATTAGCTCAAAACGCCTCATTTCAAGCATAACGGCCACATTCCTCTTTAGTGTGTCTCATGGGTCTTTGAGATTTATTTATTTATTATTATTATTTTTTGCGCATTCTATCACGATCGACCTGTATTTCAAATTGTGTGTCGATTGGTGAAACCGGCGTCGGGGGCGAATTAATCAATTTGTTGAAAGACTCTTTTTTTGGGGGGGAGTGGGGAGAATAGGGGGATACATAACACATAACAAAACAAGGTCCTTCCACTGTCCAGTACATACGCCGTCATCTAGCTTGCACTGCAAATTTACGGTCACGTTTCCATTCATTAAAGTCCCATCACTAGCAGGTGTTAATTGGATTGATGTGTTGCATCTTATTCCCTGCTCATGATAATGCGTCTCTTTTTGCAACGAGCGACAGACGTTAGGTGTGGAGTCAGTAAGAAGAATCACATGAGTGCTCCCTCATTTCCATCTCATTCTGTTCCGTGTTTAAGAAGAAGAAGACCAAAATAGTCTCTGTTTCGCAGAGAAATGAACGCGCTTGGTCGTCAAGCTAATGCACGTTTGCACACGCGCACAAGCACACGTACAGGTGCCCGCACACACGCGCGCGAGCACCCACAAACATTCAGGAGCTTTCTCTTTTAAGCTAGCACATCAATCCTTTTTATCTGACTGTATTTTTGGCCGACATTATCTCTCAACAAATGCACACGTACACTTTTCATTTGGCACGCAGCAACAGAATCGCGGCCGTGCACGTTCCATTTACGGAGCCGAGGATGAATTATTAAAATCATCAGGAGAGCTCATTTTTGTTGTTTTGCGTTTCTTTTCATGGAATCGAGACGTGGAGGTGCATTACAGCAAGGGCTATTCTGGCTAAGCTTGCGTGCGATTAAAACAAAAGGCAGGAGCAGCTCATTCGAGATGGAAAAGTGGCTCTAATGAATGCGTGGAAGCAGATACGCAAAAAGGTGAAGCAAACATGGACGGGCTTGTGTCAAATAAAGATGGGGGGGTGGTAGGGGCTTCTAAAAATGTAGAGTGGAAGCAGAGGTGGATTGGAATTCAAATGTCTGTATGCGCCAAAAAAAACAAACAAACAAACAAACAAAAAAAAACCCAGGTGCATTTTCCAACTGCCACCATCCGAAGCCCCTCCTTCACCTACCACCACAGCACATAAACGTACATTTAATGTACCGCAATTAACCCATTATGTTCTTTGTACAGTCTGAAATGTACTCAAGTAAACTGTAAAAAAATATTTTTTTCCCCTGAAATTAGCTCGCCATCTTTGGCTTTTACGTTCTCAAAACAATGTGTTCCCATATCATATGTTGTGCACTGACTAACGACGACAAATGCAAAATGAGCAGAAAAATACACCTTTATATATATATATATATATATATGTTTTTTTCCCCGGACAAATTTAGAATTTTCAAGCTTGTTGTTTTAGGCTGGCACAATACAAAGTGCAAGACTCGTTCTTGAAGCCGACAACATTGAGTTCAAAAGATCTCAATCAACCAATCAAGAATGGCTAAGTTCAAAATGCGGCAAAATGTGACCCAAGTTGGATATTTTGGCCCATATGTGACCTATTTTTGATTTCTTTATGACATTATGAATGGCTCATTCAATTTTTTTTTCAAATGCGACCTTCATATGTGGTCCTAGATCGGATACGTATCCAATGGCGTCTGAATGGCCTGGTCGCATGTATCCGACCTACACACCATCAAAAGTCCAACATGCACTTCACACGGACTAGAGAAAGTGTTTGGGAGGAGATTGACAAATGGCCGTGAATCTGCAAAGTTGGTTTGAGTAATAGTGTTGCATTTACATTTGACTTTAATTTACCGTATTTTCTGCACTGTAAGGCGCACCTAAAAGCATTCAATTTTTTTTGACAGTGCACCTTTCAATCCGATTGCCTTATATATATGGGTCAATATTCAGCTTTCTTGGACTTAGTATTTGAAATCTTCTGTAAAGCGCTTTGTTACAGCTGCAGCGGTTGTGAAAGCGCAATATAAATGAAGTTGTATTGTAATGTACTGTATTTCCCTTAGCGTAGCTCCCTCTTGTGGATACATAACGCAATCTCAGCTACTTTTGTAGTTTCTATTCTACGTGCCTTATAATGTGGCGCACCCTACATATGAAAACCGTTTTAAAATAGGGCATTCGTTGAAGGTGCGCCTCATACTCCGAAGTGCCTTATAGTGCGGATAATACGGCACTCTGAAGGGTCGAAGCAAACAGTGACATTTGGTCTTTGAGAGGACCTCATTACTCCATACAGGCATCCTGGCACAAAACACGTACCGATAACAGTTTTCATTGAAAGCCGAACAGAAGTTGTGAGTATCAGCGGCAACATAAATTGGCTGCCCTCTGGCCTCAGCCACGAGGGGCTAATTAAGAGGCCATCATATTTAAGTCTGTGTCTGTGGGTAATTAGCTTCACAACAATTCATTTTTTTAAACCTGATTCTTCCTTGTCCCGTGACACAATCATTGAGTATTTTTTTTCCCCCACAAATTAAAAGTTGTATAATTACGTCTCAACAGCCAGGTTTTTAGCCGAAAAAAAGTTTTAAAGGGCTACATCTACGGTATCCAGAGTATCCGCGCTGTAGAATGCTGCCTGAAAAAAGTCGAGTCGCTTCATTAAAAGAGATGGTAGTGTGTTTGCATCTTAACAGGATATGGATGAGGGCGTGTGCTGCACAGCCAGTTCCAACAGCATTGCACTCCGGAGGTAAAGACACAAAGTTTGTATGCAGGTAGGAAGTGCTAAATCAGCCAAATATTTAGCAAATGCTCAGGGATCTTGTTAGGGCATCAGTAATCAACCATCCTCACGACAATACCGCGATGCATTTAATCAAACGGAGCTTAAATTAAACGAATCACCGTACAGGCGCTGTCTCTCTATTGTGGGCAGGTGATCATGATCACCACATAATAATCCTTAAAGTACCACCACCAACTTCTCCCACGTAACAAATCTCAGTCCAATGGCTCGTTAGTCTCTACTTCGAGCTTCTTAAATGTTTGTTTCGTCCTAAGTCATTTTATATGGACACATATCTTAAGATTTCGGGGTTTTTTTTCCAATGGCACAAATGGTTCGTTAATTAGAAATTCATTCCGATTCAAACTTGATTCAAATAATCCTGAAAAAAATAATCTTAATCATTATGTATGTGTACCTATATACAGTGCTGAAAGATGCTTCATACACCAGCACGTGGAAGCTCTTGGACCAAATTTTATTTTTAATGCGAAATTAATTTCTGGTTTAACATCAAATTATGAACACATATTTACTTGCATTCCCATATTTGTGTTAGTGGCTGAATGTCATACTTGAGTAATGTGTGACTTTCCAGAGAAGCCCAATGAGCCGGTTCAAATTTGGCTCGAAAAAGAATTCTGTTTCAAACTCCTCATTCTCACTCAACATCGTAAATGTCGAGTGCTCACAGACATTCGAAAACGTCCCCATTAAGGCTCTTCATAGTGCAGGATTATTCCTCAGACAAATCTTATCGTTTTAAAGGACAATTTGTAAATTGGTCCAAAAAAAAATGACAATGAATTAAATAGTAGATGTTCCATCTGTACGCAAGGCTCTGAGGCCGCAATGAATGTTTCATGCGATCCTAATTTAAAATCTTATTCCACAAGTTCACACACTGAGGTTGTAAATTGTTGCTCATTTTAAGGATTGAATAGATTTTGTTCCCTTGGATCCAGACATGGGTGAATAACGTGATATGTTACAACAGGGCGGGAAACATTTAAGCGTCATATTTAAGAGTCTGCACGATGGTACCAACCTTAAGAGGAGGGACGGACTGAGCTTTGCCATACTTGTCCAGCGAGATGAAAGTGAAGAAGGCAGAAACTGCGCGATAGCTAACTTTCTCCGTGTCAACCAGCGAGCAGGCATCTACCACCACTTCTATTTCCATGGACTTGTTGCTGATGAACGTGAGACGGCCTGTCACAGTCACCACACAGCCTTGACAGAGGAAGATGGGAAAAAGGAAAATGTATTTTTTGTGTTTACGTACAGTGACAGACTGCAGGTTGAATAATGTGATCATGCACAGCGGTACACCGGGGCCGAGGGCCAGCCGCCGCCACGGACTCCCCGCCAGCCAGCTAGCATAGCCTTGGCTCTGAGGCAACCTACGTGTGTTTGTGCGAGACAGGGCGGGGGGTGAATCTGTGCATTAGGTTGCGAGTTTTAAAATATTTTCTGCGCGCACATTGGTTCCCAACGACTGTTCGGAGACTGAGAGAATCACTTAAACTTGTCGTTCAGAGTGAACCAAAAATGGCATTAGGGAGTAGCGCTCCGACTCGGGCGTTCCTGGCAGCATTTGGAAATTAATGAGAGCGGAGCGCACTCTCTCCGAACACACTCACTCTCAGCGTACTATACGGATGTCAGAGTGAATTTTTAAACGTGCCTTAGGTTAGTGTTTGTTAGCTTGCAGTCCATCGCAGCATTGCATCGCTTTGTAGTTTAAAAATAAATCAATAAATCAACTAATTTTCCCCCAAAAAGATCTCTCAGTCTTGCAGGAGGGTAAAGAAGAAGCGGGCAATTGGAAAAATGAGCCCGGTCCAACTCCTGAAGGAGCACCAGCCGCAGCTTCAAAATAGTGTTCAACAAGCATTCCCCAATAACTGGGGACATCAGCGAGGTGATGCGGGCATAAAATTTGAATATTTCTGTCACACTGAGCAGAGCACTTGAAAGGTGTCACAAAGATGTAATAAATTACTGCAATTGGAGAGTGGGCTCCAAATCTGTCTTTGGGCAAATTTATCCCTTATATTATATATACCTTATACACATCAATACCGCGCACGAAGAGTGTGTATTGTACTTTAATTTAAGAAAAACGAGAGAAAATCCTGAATAAGTCAAGTCATGAAAAACATTTTTTTTCCCCATGATGTCTAATAAACATCATGTTCAACTTCTACGGAGAGACACAAAGACAGGCACAAGAAATTCAATAACGAACCTGTCAAAGACTACACATTTTTAAAAATGTTAATTAAATGTATGATACCATTTTTTTGTTTAATTAAATATATGATAATACATATACGGTACATCTGCTGATCAAAAGAAGGAGCAAACTGCATGTCCTTTCATTTAAAAAAGTTTTCTTCCATTTTTGCCAGCGGGGTTGTTTCCTTACTCCTTTTAATGTGCTCAAAGTGTGTTATTACTGCGGGTTGCCACGGAAACATGGAAAGAAGGCATTATTCCTGCAGTCTGTGTTCTATTTTGAAGCTCAAATAACAAACTAGAGTCGAAGGAAAATGAACATGTCTTTTTCTGTGCTGCAAACATTCTTTTGAATGTCGCGTCTAGATGTAGAATCCTATCGTTTGCATACTTTAGTAGATAAAGTACCGTAGTCTCTTTTGATTGTGTGGGTTTTAGGAGTGAGCATCAAGCAGTTTTTAGAAGAAGGATCATTTTTAAAATGAGCGAAATAAAACGGCTGCAAGGGTCTCGATCAGGTATATACATTAGAATTTTCAAGCATTGTTTTGTCAGCCCATCACACATTTCTCACCATGCGCTTGGGAGATTTCAAATGTGCTTTTGCAAAAATTTGAAACCAAGGTTGAACTTTATATTATTTCAAAACATATTGCGTGGATGAGACCAATATTGGGGTTAAGTGGTGTCAAAAAGGTCACACTGAAATTTCATTTGTGCTTTAAGAAGCGCTTTGGTCAAACTAGAGGATTTGAGCAAAGAATTATGCAATTCGAACTGATAATGTATAAAAAAAATTATTATTTCCTCAACTGCAGCTGCCAGTTTTTCTTTTAGTAGCCTGTGGTCATGAAAAAAAAAAAGTTTTTTTTGTCCGACACGAAATGCTCTGACGATGGACCAAAACCAAAGTGCAGGTCTCATCCAACTTTGGAGAAGTTCTGAATGCCTTTTATGGCAGTACGGAGCATCATTAATGGGCATCAGGAGTAAAGTATCGTCATGGTAACAACCTTTCTTAATCTTGCGATGAAAATTGATGGCGTCCACAGAGGCGGTGACAATGTTGGTGTTGCAGTGGCGTGCTGCCACAATGCCGGCAACCTCATCCATCAACTTCATGGTGACGCCTGTTCGACACACAAACAGGCATACTTCAGTCACACGCTAGAAATCTACGAAGAGGATCAGTAGATATGTTCGCTTTCCCATCGGAAGTCCGAAGAAGTAAGTAGAGCGTAGTACCATGAATTGTACAATGTCAAGAAGTTCCAGAATTTCGAGGTATTTCTGGATAGGTTAACTTTGCTGGACACCGTTTTAACGAAACTGCACATGAAATGAAACAGTTTAGAGCATTCAATGAACTTTGGATACGTACATGTTTTCGGTGGGTAGGAGGATGCTGGAATACCCGCATAAAACCCACAAAAAGCACAGGAAGAAGATAGAAAGTATTAAAAAGTGTTTCATTTTCTTTGTTGGATGAAACCAAGACCTTCTTGCTGTGATGTTACTGTGCTAGCATATTTGGTACGTTGAAAACAGGGTGATATATTATTTTGGGTGATTTTTCACTTTGCAGACCACGTCAAATAATTCAGAAAGCTTACCGGGCACTTTGCCAGATTTCACATTAAAAGTTGATGAATTTTTAAAGAGCTAGAAAGAAATAGTGGGAGTGCAACGAAAGCTGCAGATTATAAAAGAGCACAAATGTAGATGCGCCCGTTGAAATGACGGCTTACTTTATGATTTGTCAGTGACATTTTGAATTTGTGATTGAAATGAAGGAAACTGGGGGGCCCAGTGATCCAGCGGGTAGCGCGTCGACCTCACAGTGCAGAGGTCGTGGTTTCGATCCCGGCTCCGGCCTTCCTGTGTGGAGTTTGCATGTTCTCCCAGGGTCTGTGTGGGTTTTCTCCGGGTTCTCCGGTTTCTTCCCACATTCCAAAAACATGCATGGCAGGCTGATCGAACACTCAAAATTGTCCCAACGTGTGAGTGTGAGCGTGGATGGTTGATCGGCTGTGTGCGCCCTGCGATTGGCTGACAACCGGTTCAGGGTGTCCCCCGCCTACTGCCCGCAGACAGTTGGGATTGGCTCCAGCAACCCCTGTGAGGATAAAGTGGATCGGAAAACGGATGGATGCATGGACATGTCAATCATGATAACAGCACGAGTGATTGGTCCCGAAGCAGCATAGATGATGATTGGCACATGTAGTTACCGCAAGCAATAAATGCCATTCATTGTTGCTTCCTTTATTTTTACAAGTTGTGCTTTGCTTTTGTTTTGAGGAAAGAAATGAACAGGTGGCCATCCCTTCCTTCTGATTTACTTTCAAAAGACAGAACCTAAGGAGAGGCAACATATTACCTTTTTGGAAGGGACATGCCCCACTCACAGCCAAGAGGCGTTCAGCAGCGTGAGCGTTTTCATTGGATTTTTTTCGGCATTTTGTCTCAGTGACATCTATCAACATCCCCATGCCATTTCGGAAAGCACTGCAATTTCTACTAATAAAACGTAGTTGCCAGATTCATTCCCCCAGAGTCTCACTCGCAACACAAAATCAATAAGTCTGCTTGGGATGGCTTTTTGGCGCTGACCATCTGCACGGTGTTGGGAGCCTGATGTGTGGGAGTACATAGAAAGAAGAATGTGCTGCCTGCCGCATTCACGTCAAAGGCAGCCTGTTCACTTGCTTCCTCGAATAAAGTTTCAGACTACCCCGACGTGTTGTTCCTCATAAATCTATGAAAAGCCAACCGCGATTTTGCGAATAAGACTCATAAAAGCTTTGGTCAGGTTTGGAGAGCGGTGCGTCTTCCTGATTCTGCCTCATTCACTTGTACCATCCGTGACTTCCCATTTCCCGTGCTGTCAAAAACATTTTCATTCCCGAATCTGATGTCATTTGTTAAAGTCCAGTCATCTCCTCTGAGCTCATCAAGCTCTGCCGGATGCCCTTTAAATATCAGGGCGACCCTGACATTCTACAACATGTATGACTTTGTGGCCCACCTCATCCCTATCACCATCGCTGAACAAAAAAAAACTGCCTAGTCCTAGAACACTGTCAAACTCAAGGCCCGGGGGCCATATCTGGCCCGCCACGTCGTTTTATGTGGCCCGCGAAAGCAAATCATGCCTGTCAACTTCAATGATCCTTGCTAAAATCTGCATCAAAATGTAGAAATGTCATTTGCAATAACAGTGAGATTTTTGTTTACCCTGTTCGCACTCACTTGAACAATAATTGAACAAACAACAAATTGAGCAAACTAGTAATCGATCAATTTGTTGTGTGCAAGTAGGAATATGATTTGATGAAATATACGATATGAAACATTGATTCAATTTCACCGTCGTAACGGCCCTCCGAGGGAAGACGTAACTCCAAAGTGGCCCGCGACAAATGTGAGTTTGACACCCCTATCTTCGATACAGCATATACATCGTAGATCTTTACAGGCAACTTTCTATTTCCACCTGCAATCTAGCTCAAGTTCAACACTGGTGGTCGTATGAGTGCTTCTCAAAAGCGTGTAAGATCCCTCTACTGGTATGCAAAAAACAAATAAATAAATAATAACTCAACATAATTTTAGTTTTATTGAGTACAGTTCACTTGTATTTAACTGTTAAGTACAATACATTTGCATGTGATCTTTTAGAAAAGTTTTAGATTCGAACATTTATTGAGGTACAATCTTTATTTATTCAGGTGAAACAAATTTTTTTTAAGTAAATGTTTTTATTATCCTATGTGTAAGGGCGGTGTTATGTACAAACTGTGCATAATCATTGCAACAGTGGCTCAAGGTAATATAAACATACTTTTTCCGAATTAAAACTTCCATCTCTTTTTTTTGATTAACACAGGCCTTCGATGCTACTCTGTTTTAAATTTTTGTCATTGTGGTCGTATTTAGAGAGCTAAACATTTTTAGGGTTGCACTTGCGGTAAACAGTTTGAGAATCGCTGGTCTGGATGAGTAATAATCCTAAACAATGAGTAAGAATCAATCAAGGGTTGGACAAAGTGCTAAATTATTCATCGAACCAAGACATCATATGACAGAGTCTATTTTTCCAACATTGCGGGAACAATTTCAGGAAGGATGCTAATTCCAACTGACATGCAGCGCAATCAAACTTTTATCTACACAGAGTATCATCACGTTTTTTCCTATTCTTTTTCGAGAGAGAGAGAGAGAGAGAGCTTTTTATTTGGCTCTCTGCAACCGAACGAATTTGTGACGGTAGACGCACGAAGTTAGAACAGCAGGTCAGACCGACCCAAATGTGTAGCGCGTCAATCGTAGACAGTGGCAGCAGCGTGCTGCACAAAAGCCTGAAAGAGAAGCGGAGCGTGCAAGAAGTGAACAACATTAGAGCAGAAGAGTGACAAAATGCGGCGCAGAAGTGTGTGACATAAGCGGCTCGCCAATTGGTCGTGAGCCCTGAGCGTGGCTGCCACGGTCACGTTTCTGCCACTTATTTCGGTTGAGGCAGAACACGTACAAGGAAGCTGAAGTTAATGATTCCAATCGTCATACTTAAGAAGGAATCGTGATTGGGATTCTAGGTGTCTTCTAACCGGCTCTTGGTACTGCATGTACAACACTCAAGTGAATCGGAGAACTGAATCGCATTTGTGAGTGACTCAGAGCAACCGAGTCTATAAAATGAGTTTACCACGAGCAACATACATCGTGACGCTGCATATTGCAAATTTCCACATTGCGGGACTAACAAGGGGTGAAACAAGAAGACTTGTGTTAAGAGTCCATTGTGTTGATCGTCAGTGTTCCACTGTGTGGCCCCTCCTTCTGTTCTGTTTTTGGTTGCCTTTCCCTGAATTCAGTGTGGTACTCTCTGTTGCCTAGCAAGTCGCGCCCAGCCCTTCAGTACGCCTGGATTTGGTTTCTCTGACTCCTTTTGGGTCCTGCCTCCTTGAACTGTCCCTCTGCCCACACACATACACACACACCAAAAAAGTGTTTCATATGAAGCAGAATCTGTGATATGAAGAAATTATTTCTTGAGAAAAGTTTCTTGTCATTGTTGTCATTTCAGGAGAAAAGCAAAACGATACACACGGTGAAACTCAGTGTCACACAGTCACTCCTCGTCAGTGTGAGACCCCCATTACAGTCCCCGGGGGTTAAAAATGGTCCTTCCGCGATCAACAGAGGTTCACTGTATAGCAAATAATACAGTTCCCTTTACACCATGTACTGTAGAGCTGATATAAAAGGTTGATGCTGAGACTAAATGTGAGACTGAAAACGAGGACAAGCAAGGCCAAGACAGCCCAAGGGCCCCCGTTACACATTTGCAGGGTGACATGGCACACTATGACTCCCTTTGCCGTAGGGAGGGAACAAGCCAGGGGGGTGGATGGGAGGTGGGGGGTGGTCGGGTGGCGTAGTGTCATGGCGTCGCTGTGTGTGAAGAGGACAGAGAGCTCACTCCAAAAGGGGGAAAAGTCCAATTAGTAAGCCAGTCTCTAGTGCAACCCAGTTTGCCAGAGGGCAAAATACCCCTGTGACCACACTCCTTGCCCCTTCCTCCTCCCCCCACTTATCTTCAAATACATTATGCTCCCGTGGTAGCGGAACAGTCGAGGGAGGTCTTCAAGGGAGTCTTAATAGCGCATCAACATGTCATATGAACCCACTTAAACATTGCACATGATACGAGTGCCCGCTGTTGTAAAGAGTGTGGAGAAAAAAAAAAAAAGAGTGAGGTCTGCATGACCTCTCGCAGTCTTGACACCACAAGATATATGGACCCCCCTCGAGCTTCATTATTGAAATGTTCAGCCTGCGATATTGTCAAGAGGAAAAGAGACCGTTTATTTGGTGGCGTTGAGGACTCCCTGGGTGACGATGCATCACTATGAAATACTGTTGAGAGAACTCAATTATTTTCACGTTCGATGTGCACTAAGTCAAAGGCACAAACGCATACACACGCACCTTCATCGTTCTCATTTTTGCCTTGTAGAGTACCCTGGTATTTTCTTTTAATATGCTGTACAAAATAAAAATGATGTGAATACGGTCTATTGTGCAAAAGCATTAACCAATATCAACAACGTGTGGTAGAGCCAGGACCAAGAAAGCGCCATTATCATTTTGGGTAAGATCCAGATAAAGGTGTGTAAATATAGGTCAAGGAATATAGTTTCGCAGTTTGAGGCATCAATAAAATCATCCACAACCTCACAATCGTAATGCCGCAGCCTCTCTGTTCATCAAGCTCCATGAACTCCATTGTGGCCTGATTACAGGTGACACACAGCCTGGTTTGGTCGCCAGTTGGTCAAACCTCTTTTCAACAGGCGCTATTGACTGGACTTTTTCCGTAAAGTCTTAAAAGGAGCAGATGTGAACGGAAAAGCAAGGATGATATAATGAGGCTTCAAAATTGCGAAAAAAAATCAAGCCCTTCTCACCGCTCCCAAACGCTGGGTGTGTCTGCTGAACGCGCTGAAAACATGCCTCGTTCAACTGTCAATTTTCAACTGTCAATAAATGTCACACATCTTTCTTACGCCGACACATCCCTGCAGGTTTGAGCTGCAAAAATATAAGGTTATTTACGGTGCTTACTTAGCATTTCAACAGCAAGTTCAGAGCTGCGGATTGCAATGATACAGTTTGAATGAGTTCAACCAGTATAGTCTTCAATTCATTTTATCCTCATTTCTTGTTTTGAAATTGCGCACGTCTAAGCAAGCAATGATGATTCACTCAAAATTACACGGCTACTCATTTATCTCAATCCTATAATTTTCTTGATTTGCCGGATGTTGGTAAAAGCAATCGGCATATTGATGTCCATCTGGTCTATGAGTAAACTTTGAACTACTGTAGGTCCTTTTATCGTTTCTTAAGCTCCCATCGTTGCCCTCTGCTCACCTTCTTATCCACCCCCGCTGCAAGTGCTTTGATCGTGGACAGCATCAAATTGCCCCAACTGCCTCCTAATGAGATGTAGCTATGGAAACGGCTCCTGTTAATGTTGGTGCCTCCCAGCAATCTCCCCACATCATGGCGGAAATCACCATAAACTGTTGTTTTTCTAAGTGGTCTCCTTCAGGCTTTATGAAGCACACTCCTTACAAAAATTAGCGAGAAGTGCTGACTGCGTTATTGTGCACACTCAGCAACAGGCACCGCAACTGAGATGGACTTTTGGGAAGGGAAATGTTCGACTTCATAAGTGGATGTTTACTATTGTGCTCGCGGCTTGCAAGGACGCAGAAATGCATCTCATCATACTGACAGTGTACGACTATATTTTGCCATATGATTTGTCATTTATATAAGTCAGAAAAGGGCGGACCGTTGGTGCACGGGTTAGCGCGTCGGTCTCACAGTGCAGGGTTGCATTCCGGTTGCGGCCTTCCTGTGTGGAGTTTGCATGTTCTCCCCATGCCAGAGTGGATTTTCTCCGGGTACTTCGGTTTCCTCCCATATTCCAAAAACATGCATGGCAGGTGAATGGAACACTTGAAATTGAGTGTGAGCGCGGATGGTTGTTCGTCTTTGTGTGCAACACGTTCAGGGTGCCCCCGCTTACTGCCCGATGATGGCTGGCATAGGCTCGGCATGCCCGGACCCTAGCGAGGATGAGCGGATTACAAAATGGATGAACGGATGGATGGATGGATGGATGGATGGATGGATGGATGGATGGATGGATAAACAGTATTGTAGTTGAACAATGACACTTGGATTCTTCTCTCATTGGATTGTGAGATCTTTTTTTTTTCTTGATCTACATTTATGTATGTTGGGGCTCGAAATAACATTTCTCGGAGCTAGAATTAGTTTTACATTGCCAAGAGTGCAGTGCTGAGTCTCAACTGAATGCACACACAGCAACACATCTGTGCTTAACCAATGCACTGCATCAGAGCAAGGATGGATGGATGGACCACCTGTCAAAACATTACAAAAAGAACATCCACTATCAAGAAGTGCTTTGACACAGACTCTTTCAACGTCAATGACCGTTAGGTGTTTTAGGACCTAGAACAGGAGAGAGGAACTTCAAAAGGAATCCTCTGAATATTTTTGGATCAATCTAAAGCTCCCAAGAAATCCGAAGTGACATACCATGCCAGTCCCCAAAAGAATGTTGCGAAAAGCACATTTGAAAGGAACTTTGTCGAGTACATTTGTTTTTGTGCACGTCACTCATTATTTTCAATTCTAAAAATGTCTTGTCACTTTCAACGGAGAAATCAAACCAAACAATATCAATCTGATGTTGTTGCTGCTTTTTTAAAAAAATATATATTGTCAATCTGTCATTTTAATTAGACTGCGACGGGGTCCACCAGTGGAGATCAACTGGTGTTTCCATGGAAACAGGTGGTACACTGAGAACATAGACTGATGACGGATTAACGAGGAGGAGCAGGCAAACAACTGTGAACATGCAACAGAGAAAAGGAATGATCAACTGAGACGAGAGGGAATGTGAAGTTTCATGACATCAGTCTGTCTCTGGAAAATAGCATTTTCAACGATGGCTCGCAACAAACACTGCCGGTGCATTTAGGTTTTGATTCTCTCCTTTGGCATTCATTTAAGTGGCTGGGCGTGTGTTTGATTTACTTGGATTCTCCCGTCTCGACTTCTGACTGAATAAATTGTTTCATATTTTGATGCATTTTTATGCTTTATTTTGATGCATTTTTATGCTTTATAAAACATTTATGTCTGAATTTTGGGGGGCTTGGAACGGATTAGGGCATTTACATGGAAAACGTGTCTCTACTTTTCCTCGTGAAGAAATTTCTTCCAGAACCAATTAATTTCGTAAGTAGAGGTACCACTGTTTACGGTACATTTAGAATTTCAATTCTCCACTAAACTCGTCATGCCAATATTGTGTACTACGACATAATGCAAAAAAAAAAAAGACAAAGCCACGATTGTAGCTTCTATTTTATGCGCCTTTTATATGAAAACAGTTTTAAAATAGGCCATTCAATGAAGGTGTGCCTTATACTCGGACGGAAATATAACAATATTCAACGGCCCAAATAGAGAGAACTGCCTAATGCATCGATTATGCAGCTAAATTGCATTGGCTCGTCTTATGTTTTAAAATGGATGATGATGTCAGCCATGCCCCTGCTGTTGTATTCACTGAGAGCTCTCCTCCGGATTTTCTGTGTTAACCAGCAGGATATTCATGTGCCGTGCTCTTGAATGTTCCTGTGTTGATGCGTGTGGCTCACGTCTCCTAAGGCTGCGGCTAACTAGGTCACATTTCCACCGAGTGGAGGGAAAACGTACAGAAAATGATTAGTTTGTATTCTCAAATAGAAGTTAATTTTCTCAAGTAAGGGATGGAGAGAGAGTTGGGGTGAGGGGGAGGGGGGGTGTAATGGGGGCTGCCTGACCTGACTCCCGCTTATGTAAACAAAATAAGTGTAGAGCAAGCAGCAGCAGCGGCGAGCAAAGGGGAAGATTGCCCTAATGAGCAAAACCATATATAAAGACAGTGCGTATGTGTGTGTGTGTGTGTGTGTGTGTGTGTGTGTGTGTGTGTGTGTGTGTGTGCGAGCGCGTGCACGCGCGCATGTGGTGGGTGTGTGGGGCTGCGCTTGTTCCATTTGATTCTTAATTGGCCAGATGTCTCAGCAAGCTCTCCAAATTAAAAAGCCAAGCATGACACGTGCAACATTTATCCGTCCCGCCCTGTTTACTTCCATCTCTAGTCCTGCCCACCATGCGCCTCTCCGCTGTTCATTTCGCTCACATCTCTCCTGTTGTTCTTCATGCATTCTTTACGCACATGACATTGGCAGAAATGTCCAAAACCGTATACAGTACACCAAAGGCGCCCTAGTCTGGTCCTCGAGAGCCGCCCAGCGGGCCGCCCGGCTTTGCTGCAAAAGATCCTAAGCCTTGCACGCTTTACTGTGTACACAAGCTCAATTGACCTACAACCTGGCTTTGCTTTTTCAATCATTTTCTGAATTTCCTCTTCTGCACAGGACAAATTCTACCAACTTGAAGGTCATAAGCAAAGTCACGAGAGTCATAAAATTAAACTGACTTCAGTGATGTAGACATTGTTTTGTTTTGTTTTTTTCATTGTTCCCTCTTCTACAACTGTGATTCATTCCGATTCCCTTTTCTCTCTTCTCTTCTGTGGAGGTCTCAACTTCATCCTCCCCCGAGGGACATCCACACAACACTTTAAGGCCGTGGGTGGGTTCAGTCTGCTTCAATGTTGAAACCCAAACACGGAGATGCCGCTTCCTCTTGTATTCTTTGTATTGCTTATGTTTGAGATGGAGTAAAAAATAAAAAAAAAACTGCAGACAAAATAGCACCTATATTTATGGTTAGGTGTGTGAAGCTATCCCACAATTCATATTTGACCACAGTGGATGAATTGTGTGTATTTGTTGAGAATTCTGATTGTACTTTATAGATAAAATCGCTGCTTCTCCTGCCTATCTATCAACATGAGAGCAAATGTGTGTCTGAGGTGTGACACAAAATACACCCTGCATGACATTAGGAAGATCGATACTATATCTTCCAAATGTTAAATTACGGCTATATTTTATTGATCTACAAACCAGCCTCAATATGCAGATTTTTGGTCTTAAATTCACCACTGGGTCCAAAGCCAAGTCTTGACACACTTGAGATACTGACAGCCCAAAAGGCATCAGTCAGGCTTTTTTTTTTTTTTTTCACAGCAAGGTGCTGAAAGAGGTACGCAATAAATATAAAATGTTAAGCCCTCTTTGGGCAGTGGCTATAAATGTGTCCAAAGAATTTCGAGCAATAATTCAAAAGGCAACTAAAGTGCAGACTATAAGTGATCGAAGAGTATTGCTGTGTTTGTGTGTGTGTGTGTGTGTGTGTGTGTGTGTGTGTGTGTGTGTGTGTGCGTGCGTGCGTGCGTGCGTGCGTGCGTGCGTGTGTGTGTGTGTGTGTGTTTGTGTGTGTAATGTTCTCTGACATTAAAGCTTGTTTGAAAAGCAGTGTGTGATGAAACGGTTGCACTCCGGACCTGCAGGTGGCGGTAACGTTCATTGTCAAAGTGGGTGCAAATACCACACTTAAAAAAAAAAAAAAAAAAAAAAAAAAACATTTTTATTTTACTGCTACATCATTAGGGACTGTGCTGAAAAAAATATAAATGACATAATTGACCTCGATTTGACTTTCATCACATTATGGTTGATTACAAAAAAAAAAATGTTTGTGATCCATCCAACCACTAGTAACTCTTTCACATGGCCTTTTTCAGCCAGTTTGGAATGTCTGAGGCAAAAGCCAATGAACTCACCTCCGTGAACGTAATCGTGCAGCGTGCAGTCCGAGGGACCCACCAAATGGATCAGACTGGACTGGCTGAAGCCAACGCTGTGCTTTTCTGCAATGCAAAAGAATAATGCATTCCCATGCAGTTTGCCTTGACATGCTGCTACAACTACAAAACTGCTAATGCGGTCATGAGAGAAAAGCAGCGTGCTGTGCCTTTTGACGTGTCCTCTCTTAATCGAAAGACTACTTCAGTGTACACACTTTCTTCTTTTTGGATGCAACTACAGTACATTCCTTCGAAAGCGAGTCTGTTACCTGGCTTGGGGGGAGGTGGCATGACCTCTTCAACCATTTCTTTGGTTTTCAGTCTCGCCGTCTTCTGAGCCTCGTACCGCTTCTGACCCTCCTCCTCTTGTTCTGCCGCAAACTACACATTGCGGGGAAAACGTTGCCGTGTGATGTTTTTCATTACTATGCAATCATGTCATGGAAAACTTTATCCGCCGGTTCCTCAAGTATGAAACTGCAACGTCTCCTTTACCTGGCATCTGGTGTGTGAATCTTGTGTCAAGATAAAGAGCTCAAGTGGGGAGCTGAGGGACGGGGGGGGGGGGTCTTATGTTGCTGAAAATAATCTTCATATTGCCCTTCTTGGTATCTTGATGAGGGGGGGGGGACTGTTTTGTGATGTAAAGAAGAGATGAGGGACATCGATGTTGTTTTTTTGTTTGATGCAAACTGTTGACTCATTTCTGAGCACTCCATCAATCCATCCATTTTCTAGACTGCTTATCCTCGCTGGCATCGCAGGTGAGCCGGAGTCTAACCTAGCTGATTTTGGGTGAGAGGCCGGTTGGACTGGTTTCCCTGCATCTTCAGAAAATGAATATTCTTAAAGATGTCGAAATCAGATACGTGATTTCCTCATCGCATAAGGACAAACCGAAAACTCTACAAGACATTTATAGAAGGAAGAGATGCACGGCACTGACACAGGAGAGCCTTACACTACTGCACTGAGTCCCTCTAATGAGGATTTCTCAGAGAGGCATTCAGGCAAGATGACTAAAACGGGCATTTGAAATGTTGCGTGACTATGACTTGATCGGATGGCCTTTTTTCTCCGTGAAAGATAGGAGCCTGGTGAAATGTCAGACTTTGGTTGATTCAGGTCAGGGCAAGCTGACGTTTTCGACATACCTTGATGGGCGGCACCTCCATGATCTTGTCGACATTCTGCAGAGAGCAGGGTACGTACCACAGCACGGCCCTGTTGACCAGCTTTTTGGCACCTGCAGTCATCGAGAAAAAAAAGGTCAAAGTCTTCTACCCGAGGAAAATGTCACCGGGAATCGGGAAGCTTTCTTCTCTCGGGACGTTTTGAAACGTTGAGAAATGAGATGCGCGGCCCGTGCGAAGCAATCACTGATTAGCGGTGAGACCAACCTGTTGAGAGCTGCAACAGGTAGAAAGTTGACTATGACAAAATGACAAAGGCTTGCTATGACATGGAGGAAATCATTCAAAACTTTCAAGAGAATTAGGTTGACAACCGTGTGTGGACATTCTATGTCATTTACACACTCTCGGTGCGTCACATTTGTCAGTGTGTAAAAAAACAGATGACTTATCAGCGAGTAGAGTTATTTGAATAACTGTTTCAGCCCTAATGAATATCACAGACCATTGTGCTCCAAACTTGACAAGTTGGCCAAAATTAGAAGACGGTTTGAAACTACATAAAGTATACGTCACAAAAAGTATCGTTACATGCAGTCCGACTCTAGAAATTTCTTGAGGTAATCGTCTGCATCCGGAATATGTATCCCACGGTCAGCCATCTTGGAATAAGAGAACTTACTTTGTAATTGCAGAGCGGTGCCATTTTTGTGCAGCCTTTTGTTTAACTATGTTGCAAAAGGCCAAATGGGTCTCTTTTGCCAAAATTGAATTAAAAATGAACTCAAGATTATATTAATTCCTGTTTCGGCATAGTTACAAGATGTAACATTGAGCAGGGATGGAACATTTCAATTGCCTCGCAGCACCAAGAGGCAGGAGATCAGACAACAAACCTTGTGTAAAAAAAAAAAAAAAAAAAAATCACTTCTCAGAGCAATCTGGCGGAGAGGTTGTCATGGTGATATCAGTTCTATTCTGCCAACACGTTGTCACTTAATTTGCTAACTGTGAGAACTGGAAGCTATTTTGAGGCGTTCGGACAAGAGGAACGCACGGGGCTGACTCATTTAACGGTGTCTTATTTGGGCAGAAAACATTTGCATGTAGCTGATGAAAAAAAAAAAAAACATTGTGAAAACCTCCTGCTAACATATAACAAGATCACAGAAAAAAAATATGTAAATTGTGACAATTCGTAACCACAATAGCACAGGCTGAAAACAGACTTCTCTCGGCGGTGTAGCATTTGCATCTTACACCCGAGTTAGAACGGCGCCGACGGCCCGGGCACCGTTGCCATGCCAACCCCCTCTTCTCTCCTCCTCCATTCATTGGCTCCCGCCCTTGTCAACAATCAGGAAGTTGCCCACAGGAAAAAAAAAAAGAGTCATATTTACATATCCTTGACTCCACCAAGACTGTTCGAGTCCAGTCTATTATTAGCCACTGCTAGACATTTTAAATGAACTGTGCTCAGGATGGAGGAGGAAGAGAAGCGAGAGTGGGGTGAAGGAGGTGACCGTTGCGGACCATTCCCTGATGACCTTTTTGGCCAGAATCTAACGAGGGAATGGTTTTCAATTTCGGGTCCCCCCTCCCCTGCATTGAATGACAACAATGTCAATGTTCGACCATGTTGTCTTTTCAACAGCAGCCGTCGTGTGTTCACCGAAGCAGCATGATGGTCTCATTAAGGTTACAGTTCATGCACACGGATTATTAAAATTCTGCATCTGGGAATTCATCCAGAAACACATTTTTGATTTTCATGTATTTATTTTTAACAAAACCACTGCGCCCGAGGAGGAATGACCTATCATCTTATATATCCAAATTACTGGCACACTACTGTCACCGGCACACACACGTACCCTCAATCTGAGCTGTTAGTTTGAGCTGTAGGAGCTTTGCTATTTTGGAATATCCACCTCTCGAAAATAATGAGGAAAAAAAAAAACACCCATCCCTGGTTTGCTAACAACTGGGCAAGTCTAGCAAACAGAAGCAGAGCAAAGAGACCTCAGGCCCCTGAGAGGATTCAGAGGTCATGTGTACTTAGCATAATTTTGCTCAAGAAGTAAATTTATCAACTCTTGGTACCTTTCAAAAAATGTAACTTTGAACTGATAAATTTCGTGTAATAGTAACACTATTCCGGATAAGTCATGCTACCAATGAAGTGGCCGTGGCTAACATTAGCTTGTATACAGTGCTGTCGCTAGCTTAGTATTGCTCGCACCGCTCTCTTGTTGAAGCTTGACGATGAGTTCTGTCCCTTGTGAAGTGAGCTTAAAAACTGCACAAACTCTTTTTGAACAAAATATAGTGCCTTTGAAACCAGGCTCCGCCCCCTCAAAAGGTTTGTGGAAAGGGGGTCGTTTTTAAATATGGCTGCCAATAACATAACACCCTTACTCATATATTTGATATCATTATAATGTGTAATTGTTCCTTATTTAGGGACTAATCAATGTCTTGTAAACATTTTATTTTGTGGGTCACTTTGAATTCCAGTTACATGATTGTTTTATTTTGTTTTGGCCTTTTGGAGGCACTGCAGCATAAACGCCTGTCTATTAATCCGGGTTTACGTAAGCATTAGCTCCTTCTTCTACTTGATGGAGGTAAGTAGGGCATTGTAATAATTGCCTTTGTGCAGATAAGCCCCAACAGTACTGTTTTTGCTTCATTCAATCACCTTTAATCCAGTTTAAAGGCATTATTCAACATTTCAGACAGGTCTCGATGTTGTTATTTCACTTATATTTACTTATTTTTCTACCCCACAGTCTTTAAATGCTTCATCGCTGTTGTCACTGTGATCTGTCAGCTGTTTGCAGCCCCTCCATCTTCTTGTTGCTGCTGTCTCCATCGCCAAAATCAAGCCTCCCCTTATTTATCAACGTAGGGTAGATTTATTCCAACTGTCTGTAACTTCGTCACACTGATATTCTCCACTTTGTCTCTCACGCAGGAGTTTTCAAGCCCTCAAAGCATATTAAAAAACATTTCTACCTCCTGTACAGCGTGTTCCAGAGAGAGGGATCAAAATGGCTAATTGACTTTTAACTGAGGCACACTATGGCTTGACGAGACTACACGATTTCAAGTTTGTGCCATCATTTCATCGAACTGGAAGGTCTTCACGTTTGAATACCTGAGATGTCATGACATGCATGATTACATCGAAGCGTATCATGCATTTAGCAAATGTTGCCTTTGCAGGCTCACAAAGTTAACATTCAGAGTGTGCAGTTGAATGACCCATCAGGATCACAGGGAGAACTGTCATGCTTTTTTTTAGCTTCACCCATAATGCATTGCACTCAGCTGTGTCTATGCATGCGTATGTATGTGTGCATGCTGCACGCAGTGGGGGTGGGGGGTGGGGGGGGCACGATTTCTGCATACAGTCTTTATGCAAACGCATGCCTGAATGTGCATGTGATGCAAGCATTATTACCTCCCGATGTGTGTGCATGCAGATTGTGTGTTGTCATTTGTGAATGGAGACCGAAAGCTCAACTGGGTGCGTTGCCGAGACCACGTTTGTTGCATTTGTGTGTAAACTCAGAATGTGAGACTTTGTGGTTTTACTGAGTACGCACCATTACTGTACATGCACATATGCAAATTTGTGTGTGCGTGTGTGTGTGTGTGTGTGTGTGTGTGTGTGTGTGTGTGTGTGTGTGTGTGTGTGTGTGTGTGTGTGTGTATCCGCGCATCTGTGTAGAGTGCGCATGAGCGTTGTGCATAGCGGGGACAATCATCACGGCTTGTGCCCACAGTAGGCAGGGTCCCCCTGGGGGGCCGTGACTGAGGCCTGCTTGATGAGATCCTGCCTGACTGACTGCGGAACCTGGATGCCTGCCTCCTCCGCCACACGGAATAGACATAAATGCTTGCAACCACAAAGAGCCAACAGTAATCCATCTTAGAATGTATGAATATACAGAAATACATTAGCAAACTGATTTACGTAAAAACAAACTTGGCTGATGAGCCATGGAGACAAGAAATGGAAACAAATATTTCCCGTCAAAGCTTTGTTCGAATACCGAGACACTAATGTGAAAGGTAATCCCTTTAAGACATCTTTTTTGAGGGAGCACAAGTGTGTGCGTTCAGTGCGTGGGCTTTGTCTATGTGCAGCCCTACACTGAATGTGTGAGAGAGAGAGAGAGAGAGAGAGAGAGAGAGAGAGACACACACACACACACACACACACACACACACACACACACGTGTTCAGGTACACCCACTTGGCGTCCATGTGCGAGTGGAGCTCAGTGTGTGGGACCTGATGCTAAGTCGACATGACAGAAGCAAATAATGTCTGCTCCCGTTATCCTCTCTTCCCCCTCGGCCCCGCAGGAAACTTTTAAAGGGCCAAACACTGATACAAGCACACATGCACAGACATGCACATATGTACAGTATGCCATACATATGCACACTGCGCCAGGATATATACTGAGCCGTGCTCACATGTTACGCCCATGTTACATATTACACATTGAGTCCCGCAGTCCAAAATTCTCTGAATGAATACTGTTTACTAGTTTTGCCACAGTCAAACGATCCATCCATCCATTTTCTGATCCGCTTTTTCCTCACGAGGGTCGAGGGACTCTGAAACTGCGATGTCAAACATTGCATTCAAGACTGCTGGGAAATCTGAAAACCATAGTTTGGAGCTAACCAAGTCAGAAGCATCCCTGTCGGAATGACACACACACACACGCTTGGTTAGTGAAAAAAGAATCTTTCACTGAAAAAAAAAAAAAAAGAACACAAGTTCATAAGGAGGAACTCAGCACATCCTGTATTTTTAAATCTTTGGTGAACTCTTTTATTTTTTATTTGGAACATGTATCCTTCAATGTACCAAATTCCTTGTGTACTATGGGTTCAACAATTGGCTCAATGCAGCGCACGGGTGTAGATTGTACTTCGACTGGCAGAAATGGACTCTACCGCACACCTGTTTTGGGCGAGGACTGAACATACGCTGTTCTCCACTTATCTCATATCTCCAATAAATGTCTGTCAACCGACTCCTAACCCAGCAACCAGCCAACCAACCAACCGGTACAAGCCTGTTGCTAGGGCAACAGCTGTCTAGGGGATACTTCTTGTTTCTCACACCTCCTTCATCTTTCCCTCTTTTTCCAACCCTTACTCAATCTTCTTTCATTCGGTCTGCGGGCATTGCATGGTAGCCATCTGATATGGCGTCTGTCTTTTCTCGGCTTCTTACTCATCTAGGATAATGAAGACAAACAAGGGTGCCGTGATGCGCCAGCACATTCTTCACCATAATTGAATCATTGATCAATCAAGATTCACCATTACGCAAAGTAATGGCACATTACACAAAAACAGAGGTCGGCAACCCAAAATGATGAAAGAGCCATATTGGACTAAAATAAATAAAATAAATAAATAAATATGTCTGGAGCCGCAAAAAAATTAAAGCTTTATATAAGCCTTAAATGAAGGCAACACATGCTATATGTATCAATATTACCTGTATTAGCCTACTATCAAAATGACTAAGTTGGTTACACAATGAGCCTTCATGTTTAAAAGGTTTTTTTTTCCCCTAGCAGTGCATCTGAAGAGGAGGGGTGCGCAACCTTTTTTGACCGAAGATCTACCTTCGATCAACCAACCTCCCGCGATCGACCCGTTAGTGCACACGGGAACGTACGCACGCACTTGCGCACCATCAGGAGCAACGGCCATAACGGCCGCTAAGATGATCGAGGCTTTGGACGCACTTTTGCAGCGTGTTAACTATCGTAGCTCACGTGTACTGTTTAAAAATGCTTCTCTCGGCCCTCCAGATTCCCATTCTTTGCCAGTACCCTCAGTGTAATGTACATGAAATGCCATTTTTTTTCACAGCAGTCACCTGCCCGGCATTTCGCCCTGCTAGTCGAAATGTGCGTCGCAGGCTATGACGCAAATCTTCATCGACAGAAATGTTGAAATGTAATATTTATTCCACCCATTTTTACAGCATTGGAAAACGTTAAGAATGTTTGTGTCATGTTTGTCCTCCTACAGAAACCATATTGAAGACAAAAAAAATCTATTTCCCTCCCCCATCTTTTTCCATTTTCAAACATTTTTGAAAAAGCTCCATGGAGCCACTAGGGCGGCGCTAAAGAGCCGCATACGGCTCGGGTGGCAGACCCCCAGCACAAAAAGGAGGCCAATGTGTGTTCGTCTATTTGTCTTCTGTGCGTCAACTACTGTATCCCTATGGCAGATGATACGTAGTGTGTGCTGCCCTCTACTGATCAAAAAGCGGAAGTGTGACACCACACTCAATAGTCCAGTTCTGTAATTGGCCTGTTCTGTGTGCGGTTTGATTTTGGAATCACGGTGTTTCTGATTAATTAGAGTCATCGTATTTATGAGGAAGCAGAAACTACAAGGAAAAAAAAGAGAAAAAACTCTTTTGCAATCCTTATTGTAATTATCTGTGAGCTTTCGGTCCAAGAAGTGCTGTCAAGTCCTAGTTTTCCATTTAGATGGATGAGTGGGCACATCGAGTGACCTGTGGCAGTGGCTCTCTACTGGCAGTGGTATTTAACATTTAAATTCAATACATTTGCATTTAATCTTTTCTAATGTTTTTTGCAATCCTTATTGTAATTATCTGTGAGCTTTCAGTCCAAGAAGTGCTGTCAAGTCCTAGTTTGCTAGTTTTCTTTTCCAGTGTTTTTTTTCAAACACAGTTTTACAGTTTGTATCTAACTTTCAATACATTTGAATTGAGTCATGATTGAAGCACTTTTTTTTTTTTTTTTAAGTGGAGTGATCATGTCCACCTGTGCACATTGTTACAGTGGCTTACAATAATATGAAATATACCTTTCCAGAATACAACCTCTGCCTTTTTATTGATGAAAACTTGGGCCTAGTACACCGATGCGTTTGAATGTTGGTCATAGTTGGGAGTTTAAATTTAAAAAGTTTAAGAACTACTCGCCGGTGAGACAAGAACGATTGCACTCTGCAAATTGTGACAAGCAACAGACTACAAATTTTTAAATAAAAAAATAAAATAATAAAAAATAACACTACTAATTTGATTTGACCAAGACGAAAACTATCTGATGGGATTGCTTTGCCTGCTAGATAATTAAAGTTTGATTACACATTGCAAGGAAGGAAGCGATGGGATTGCTTTGCCTGCTAGATAATTAAAGTTTACTGCAATTATAAACTTTTATGGGCTAAAATTTGATGACACATTGCAAGGAAGGAAGTCCTCTTATTTGGCGGGCCAGTCAAGTTGTCAAAGAATGAACCGGAGATTCGAAGAAAAGCGACAGCGGAAGTTGTCACCGATTTGGACATGTGAGTGTATGTCCAGGTGTGTTTGAATGGTGCTTGTTATCAGTGAATGCCGGCACACATGAATGGTTGTCATTCTTTGTATTCTCGTCGGGATGGCGGGAGGTGGAGGGAAGAATGAGGCAATGGGTTAAGACTTTGTGAGCAGCAGCGAGTCAATAAACGCTCTGTGATTTGCCCCCCGGAGGACTCCATGTGGACGACGTCATCAAATCAAACTTTGAGGTCTTGACAAGTTAGTACCTGTGAGGATGTTCTCGCCCATGACTTTGACTTGCACTTCCAGCGAGTGCGGCGAGGTGTACGTGATCTCAGCCGTGGCGTGGGCGACCTCCCCGATGAATAAGGGGGACAAGAACTCGGTCTTCTCCACACGAACCAAAACAGCCAGGCAGCGGTCCTGGAGAAGGCAGTTCGGGACGACATTTTATCATACTTGCGGTATCGCTATTGATTAGCACACAAAAGGAAAGCGAGCACACTGAAGCTGCTTTGTTCAGACAAGCAAGGTACCATGATGTCTGAAGATGGATCGTGTGATATTTTTTACTTAGAGACGTCGCTGCATTGTCGCTCCTTTCAAACGTACCATTTCAGAATATAAACCAAAACCTCTTTTTCGATTCTGTTTGACAATATTTATGAGTAAAGGTTTTTTCGCTATAAGAATCTGACTTTGACTTATTGCTGAACTCATTTATTCATGAAGTGCTTTCATGCACACTTTTTAAAATAAACCTACAGTACCGATGGGGAGTGTTCTTAATATACTTTCGGTCCAATGCATTTTTCAAGCATTGTAAATATTCAAACATATGTGTGTTCGGGAAAGCAGCTGTGTACAATACTGCAGATCGCACGTCATATCTGGAGAGAGGCAGAAATGTAAGACATCATCAGAATGTTGTTGAATGCAAGACAAGGATCCAATGATGCGAGTCAAAGCAGAATTTGGTTCAGTGGGTAAAAGGTAAAACATGATATGAGAGTCGCAGCTGATGGGCAGTCGTCGTGTCAGTAACTCAACTTAACTGTTGCTTCTGTTCAGTGTTGTGACTGTTTTTTATTTCCTGTTTTTTTTTTTCAACTGTTGTTGGCTTCATAGGATCCCGTTTTAGGCAGAGCTGGCATTCAGCGTGTTTTGGGGACATCCATCTGTACGTGCCGTTTGAAGAAGTGGCGCTGAGTGAACATGTAGACTGGGCTGCTTCAACGGCTTCTTGGACCAGCCACTACTAGCTAGCCACCTACTTGTGGACATTTGTCATTGACATTTTTTATTTAATTTATTTCATTTGATTGGGACGGTGCACATTAATCAACATGAGAGTAAAAACTGCCCATCATAGATACTGTGAGAGAGCATGGGAAAAATTAGCAAGAGTACCGTATTTTCCGCACTATAAGGCGCTTCGGATTTTAAGGCGTACCTTCAATGAATTTGAAAACTTTTTTCATATATTGGGTGCACTGCATGATAAATCACATAGAATAGAAGCTACAACAGTGGCTCCGGTTGCGCTATGCATCCACTAGATGGTGCTACGCTAAAGGGAATACAATACAATACAGCTTTATTTATATAGAGCCTCCACAACCGCTGCAGCTGTAACAATGAGAACTGGTCACAAACACGGACATGGAACATATAAATACAAATGGCATTACAAAACAATAAATGAAAGACAAAAGTTATGCAGACAACTGATTCAACAAAAAGGCACACAAACCTCATGGGCTCACATCCACAAGGGGCTAAATATCCTTCGAGGTCTTGCTTGTCTCCTTCTTCCTTCGTTTAGTCAGTAGTTAATTATGCTTTTGGTATAATCTTTGTTTCATTTTGCCTGCGCAGAGCTCACAAAGTAGTTGTCTGTTTGAGTGTGTGTTGGCGACTGCACGTCAATTAGTGCCAGGCAGAACCCTTTTAGGTTACAGTTGGTTCCTGCTAATAATCACCACTAGATGGCATAGGATCACTTACAGGGAAACAACGCAATGGGGTTATAAAGAGAGTTAAAGTTATGTTAGGCGCATTGGATTATAGGGCGCACTGACGGCTTTTGAGAAAATTGAATGCTTTTAGGTGTGTCTTAGAGTGCAGAAAATACGGTAAATATGGATGAAAAAAAAATGTCCACAATCCCATGGTGCACTACGTTTGGTGCAAACGGGGGCTTCTATGACCACAGATGACATTTCGTCCATTTCAACTAAACAAAAATAAATGGATCCGCTTGTAAGATCTCACCTCATTCTGTGTGTTGCAGTGCCGTGTGCTAATAATGCATCCGGCTTCCTCGATCATCTTCAGGATGTTGCCACCGTGCACGTTACCGACAATGTTGGCATCATCCGGCCGCATGATCCTGCAATAAAAAAAAAAAAGACGGAATTAGAACGGGGGGGCAGTTTGGGCTGTCCAAAGTGCCATTTCCTCCGATCACAAGAGAAATTGGATCACTCACTTCTGGGTTTCACTCGCAAAAATGTTGTGCTTGCTTTGGGATGCTGAACAGTTTGACAAAACGTGGTATTCATTTGACTGGTATGTTCCATTGGAGGCAGGTTAGAGAGTGGGAAACAATGACCTTCCAAATAAAAAGTTGATGCCGGTAGAAAACAAAAAGCAGCACATAACAGTCACAATAAAAACAATACGATCTGAATGCTGTTGAATGTTATCAAGGAATACATGATATGTAAAATGACAATCTGCTAAGAAAAGTTTTTAATTATTTGAGTGCCCTACGAGTGGTACAATCCTGTTTCTTAATGGCTACACGTATTTTTGGTTACATTTTTTTATGTTGTTTGTTGTCTGAGTCATTTAGCAGTTTATAACTCACCTCAGATGCCAAACCACATGCGCTGCCCATCAAAAATATCATAAAAAAAAGAAAATCCACATCGTCACACCATAAGCCAGCAAATGAGTCACATTTACCATCTGACAAACTGAGTCTTGATTTTATGAATGACTGAGGACAAAATGACTGATGTTGTTTAGTCATGGCAACAAAGTTGACGTGTAAGCGTCGAGAACGGAGCAGCTGGTCACAATGCTGGAACTTCTACGAGATGTCCTTGGAGTTTGAAAAGACACTTTCAAGGAAGGTCACACGGCAACCAGATACGCGATTACAAATGGAAGTATTGTGTGAACTACCTGCAGAGCTCATATTTGAAGTCTGCCGTCTCCACGTAGGGCACAAACTTTTTCGGGGGCCTGAAGCAGCGCATCTTCCAAACCTGACACTCTGTCTCTCTCTCTCTCTCTCTCTTCTCTCCGTCAGCTACTCAATTGCCTTCTGGATGCCTTCTGCATCCAGGCCTGATATTTGAGGCCCTGAAGTCACCACGGTGCCCATCACGACTGGTCTGACTGGATCAGAACCCCTCCCCCTTGATGAAGCGATAAGACACCAAAGTGACAATAACAGCGACTATCTCCGTCAGTGTCGTGTGCCGTGGCTGACGAGGGAATCTCAGGAATCTGGATTGCCTCTGCCAAGGAACTCGTCTATGTGAGGGCTGTTACATAAAACACTTTTAACCACTTATGGGTTTTTTTTTGTTTTGTTTTCTTGTTTCAGAACAGCAATTCTGCGTATTCACACTTTATTCTGTGGCGTGCCCTCCAATACCAAAAGATGTCGCCATCTTTTTAAAAGGAAAGCAGGACAAAAACAGGTGTCAAGGTAGCATTTTGAAGTGGTACGGGTTGAGCGATTTTGGAAAGTCATCTAATTTCAATTCCCCCACCCCCTCTCAATAATTACAATTGAATATGCGATTTTTTTTCAAGGTCCTCTTCACGTTTTTTTTTTTAACACAAGAAGTAAATAATGTGTATTACATTAGACAGTACCAGATTTATAATACACCAATGTTTTTGTTTTATAGGTTACGCTAATATCAAGGCAAACGAAACATGAATTAAGTCTTCAGCAATTTCGATACTTTGACTTACAGTTTTTTCGGCGTTCACTGGGACAACTTCTCAAAATTCGACCAGGGCGTGCGTGGGTTTTCTCTGGGTGCTCCGGTTTCCTCCCACGTTCCAAAAATATGCATGGCAGGCTGATTGAACATTCTAAATTGTCCCTAGGTGTAAGTGTGAGCGCCGATGATTGCTCGTCTCTGTGTGCCCTACGATTGGCTGGCAACCGGTTCAGGGTGTACTCCGGCTTACTGCCCGAAGACAGCTGGGATAGGCTCCAGAATGCCCCGTGACCCTTGTGAAGATAAAGCGGTTCAGAACATGGATGGAATAGTAAACAGTTTTTAGGGGCCATCAATTGTTTTATTTTTCTATTTTATAAGCAGTACTTTTTACGTTTAAGAGGAAATAGGTCATGAGCATAGACCACTCCTGACTACTTTTCACCACCTTTTACAAACAGCAAAAGGGTGATGTTGGTTATTTGTACAGTTCAATTTTATCTTCACTTGGGGAGAGAAATACGGAAAGATCTTTCATCAGCCCGTTTTAGGGCCAAAACAAGCAACTCCAGGGCTTACAAGAGAAAGTCCGGCTTCCTTTTTTACCACATGCAGCAAAAAGTTCCTGGTCATGTTGGTGTGTTCCTCAATTGCTCAACAAGAAATGTGCTTCAAAATGAACATTGCTGTGACTGGATCTCAGAAATAAAGTGAAAAGACTCTCCTCAAAGGAAGAATAGCAAAGTTAAAGCAAGTGAATCTTGCTCAGGCGTCATATGGTGTCAAAAAATAACTATTGGGATTTGGCTCTAAATAAAGAAGTGCTTGGGTTGATTTGATTTTTTGTTTCAAACAATATTTTTCTAGCTTTTGAAACCCCATTTCACACTGGAAGCAGTGAAATTGTGAATAATTTAAGTGCTCTGTTGCACCCTGTTGTGCATATTTGTCTGAAAGATTATCTTCTGGATAGGGTGATGACACATCGCAAATATAATTTGCAGGTCTTGTAAAACTGTGGCTTCCCTGTGTGTCATGTCTGTATTTGTTTTGTTTCAGTTCCAGCTGGAGTGAAGGGCGTTTCCCTCCAGACCTGTTCCCAACCATCATCATGACTTGTATTTCAGGACTACAACTTCTGCTACTCCTGATCGGATTGTTGACCTTGTTCCCTGTATCGAATCAAGTGTTGTTTTCTCGGCCTCTCAATCATAGTCGCTCTCATTTTCATAAGTTTCTTATTTGTATGGACAGTATTATTATTTGTTCTTGGTTTTGTGAAATCGAGCTCCTTGTCATTTAATTTTGTTTTTTCTCCGTGATTACCAGGACGTTTACACCTTATTTTTCCTTGCACCTTGTGATGAGCAATTTCTGTTTGCACTTTGTGCTCATCTATAAATAAATATTTTTATCACATTTTGTCTGAGCCTGCATTTCTGGGATTCAAAACATTCGGTTCATTTCAGAACATGATATAGAGTGTCAAAATGAATTTTTGACACGGTTCGGGAACGAACTGAATGGCGATCGGATCCCACATACATCAAACAGTAATCCTCACAAAAATATTCATTTAGGACAACAACACACCAACAAAGTGTAAACAGAAATCGCTGGTCAAAAGAACCAGGAAAACCATATATTATCAAAAAGTGCTTACAAAAGCAAGGAAAAAAACTCGAGATATAAACAAAATGACAAAAGTCAAATTTTACGAAAAACAAAAACATGAGCAAGGTCAAAGACAGAAAAAATAAATACAAAGCAAGAGGGTAGAGCGCAAAAACAGATTTAAAATCATGATCAAATAGGCAGCAGTTGTGCAGTTGTGCACGCTGGAGAAACCCTACACTGCTACCTGCTGGACACGCACAAGAACAGCATCATAACAAATTTATACGACACCGAGAAACTGTTTGTGAAAAACGCATAATGTCTCCTTTAACCTGTGTTTGCCCAGCAACATTTGCGCAGTGCAGACACAGATGTGGGAGTGTTAAAAATAAAAATAAAAAAATTAAAATACATTTAAAAAAAGGATGGGCATTATGCGCCCCCTGTTGGGGACCAAGAGTACAACGACGCAGGACATGCTGCTGGGACAGGAAGCCCATTCATCATGGTTCCAGCTTTGCACATGAACGTCTTGTCATATACGATAAAGAAATGAGCAGTAAGATACGTGGTGGCATCATCTTGTACGCGTTTAACAACCAACGTGTATTTTAGTGTTAAGCGACACGAATCACAAGAACGAAAGAAAAATGCCTTAATCATCCCCGAACGTATCCTGTGTGACGCGGTACGCCATCCCTGGTAAACATCTTAAACGTCGTCACCAAAAAACGATAACGTGCAGGGAAATAAAATGGTAAATCAGATCAAGCAGATTAAGCCGGCGAGTGACGTAAAGTCTCGCGACGGACGCATGCCGGCATACGTGAGTTCCGTGTATGCGTTCATGTGTCGCACGTCTAATAACGAAGAAAAGTCAGGACACCTCGTAATAAACATAAATAACCAAATGAAACATCTTACCTGCATAGTTGAAGGGATGATGCGGCGTCAGAAGCCTTCATCGCAGACATGATGCTGGTGAGGATGTGCTCTTTCCTGATGGAGAAAACGACACATGAAACCACTCGCACAGAATACGGGACGAGTCAAAAGAAAAACGTGACGGAAGTGATTTAAAAAAAAAAGGTTTTAAAGGTTTCTCACGGTTGTAACGAAACACGATGTGCTGAACAAGTGATTCCTTAAAGCGAATCCGTAGTGTTTAGTTTGGAAATGTCACGCTAACAGCCATTTTGCTTCCCTCGGTGGGCTTCCGTCTGAACGAGGCGACTCTGACTGAGCCCGTGAACGCATAACACTGTGGCAATAGCACCACCGGCCTTTAGAGGGCAGAAAAACTCAATGCAAAAAGACACCGAGGGCAAAACACATTGATTTAATTACAGTACATTTTAAACAAACGAATAAACAATGAGAGTTTTAGTCAAGCAATTGCTGTGTCAAAACAAAATCTCTTTTCAAAGATATTATAATGCTATCAACACTGACAACGTGTTTTGCACTGCACGCTCTGTAAATAACCTAACCAAAGTATGTGTATTATTTCTCTCTGACTTTATTTTTTATAATATTCAATATATAATGTGTCCCGCGACAAAAATGAGTTTAACACCCCTGATGTAGGGTGTGAATAAATGGTCGTTTGCCTCGATGTGCCCTGCGAATGACTGGTGATCAATTCAGGGTGTTCGGGCGGGGTAGGCTCAAGCAACCCCCGCGACCCTGTTCAGGATAAGAGGTGTTGAAAATGGGTGGGTGGATAGATGGATGGATGGATGAAGTGTCATGAGGTACTGGTAAAACTATTCTGTATGGAAAAATGAGAAACACGCACAATATGACCACGACGTCGCAGTTTTATTGTTTTCATATATGTACATTAAATACATAATTCGCTGAAAATTGCGAAAATAAAACATCCCAACAGAGATACTTGCTGTGACACACAACATGTCCACCAAATCAATCTGCACAGATTCAGAACCATGAAGTCATACAGTGCAAATTCACTAAGAGTGACCCATAGGGTCTTACAGGGCTGGTCCAATAGCCCTTAAATCATTCAGTCCTCAAAGCAGACCAAATACTGAACGTAAAACATACATGCGGAGTTTTAACAAAATACGACAGTCTAGATTTGTCAACTTATACAGGACAACCGACGCGTACGCAAAAGGTAAAGTATACAATACTCGGCTAAGTCGATTTATAGTAAATCTTAATTGTGGACAAGTCATATAAACATGTACTGGATCTATTTATGTATGGACACATGCTCGGGGCGCTTCTTTTGACTTGCGTTGAACAATCTACCAGGGTCTCCACATGGGGGCGCTGTCGTGCCGTGGAACTGAGCGAGCTCTGCCCGGGGGCAGCGCGCTCTCTGGTTTGGGGCCCAGGCTGGACTTGAGCCTCAGGAGCCTCTGCTGGATGTGTGCCGCGGAGCTCTGGCCGCAGCAGTTGAGGCATTGCCGGTTGACGTTGGCCACCATGGACCGCTGGATGAAGTCGGTCACCTGCCGGGTCGCGTCGGGCTCGAGGCCGCTTTTGGGAAGGAGCGCAGAGACGCGCTGGAGGCAAGCGTGGTAGCCCTCTTTGTAACTGTCTGTGGAATCTGAAATTTAGAAGAAAAACAAGGATGAGTGAGCCGTTAGGTAAGCGTTTTAGAAATCCAAATATCCCTCATATTTGTATGATATTATACTCACGTTTGTTTTGGACAGGGGGGATGTCACTGAGGAACCGCACAGTCATCTCCAGGATGTCTGCTTTCTCCAGCTTTGAGTTACGACTCTTCTACAGATGGTTGGGGGAAAAAAAAGAAAAATATTCATACAGATGATATGATTGATGATAATATTTCACATCTAATAATATCTTCATTCAAATGAAATTCGAAAACAACTTACATCTCTGCCGGTGAGTGGAAGAATCAGCTCTTTCAAGTGGTTCAGGCTGTCGTTGATGCGTGCGCGCCTTCTCTTTTCCACCAACGGTTTCATAGTCTGAAAAAGAACAAAGACGGTTGGCATTATATGAAATCTAAAACAACCAAAGACAGTTTTAAATGCGTGAAGGAAGACACAACTCACCTTTCTGAGCTCATGGGCTTCTTTTCTTTTGGCCACGGTGGGCCTCGGAGAAAAGGATGCCAGAGGGTCACAAGTTACGTTTGGAGACATGTTCTTCGTCCTTTCGATTCTCGAGGTGTATCCTCGACAAGATACTCGAGGAGAAATGTTTCTAACTGCCACTGGCTGGGGTTTATATCCACATCGACGGCGTGGGTGCCCGTGCGTCACAGCGACGCCCCCAAGCCAACACCAAACGACGTGACTGGCCACGCATTGGACGACGACGACAACAGAAAAAAAAAAGCATCACGTTTATTAAAATAGCCATCTGTCTTGGATCCAAGCGTGACAGCTTCAGTGCGTGTCTACATTATAATAAGCAAAAAAAAAAAAAAAAAAAAAATCTGTATAATCCACATCCAGACACCCAGCGTCAAACTTATTTGCTCGCACACAAACCCAACACACGTTTGAATAGACGTATGGCTATTTTTTTTTATTCCACGCATGTGTAAACAGCGCTTTATGTAGTATATTGCTTTGTTGGTCGTATATAGAAAAACAACATGAATTGTATTAGTGCGTAATTGTCGTTGTTTTGCGTAATTGCGCAGAGCCTCAAAACGTTCGAAAAATGAAACGAGGCCAATTTAATGCTCATGTATATGTTGTGGTTACACAATTGTTGTGATTATACTTCATATGCTGTACTTTAAAAATATATATCACACATCCAGTACTCTTTACGACTTGTATTATTGTTTGAGTTGAATTAAATGTATTTTTACTTTGTTTAATTCCCACAATGGATGTTTGCGCATATAAATACTTTTTCACGGGGACACATAAATGAATACATGAAACAAATGACGGCGTATTACAGCTGTCCGGGGGGAAAAAAATGGACGCTTGCGTGCGTCGAAAAACGGGGTCCAAGGACAGCCAGTCTCCTGTTCCAATCGAATCCACGCCACATCAAGTAAACCCAAGCCACGCTACTTCCAAATAACATCTGCTCGTAAATTTTGACAACAATAGTTTTGCATATGAGGTTTATGCAGTTCGAGCCGGAGGGGGCGAGGTCTCAATACCTGTGGGGTGTTTAGTGCGTCTCGCTGCCAACGCTATACACAGAGAGGCGCGGGTGCTGAAACCAAAAGGGGGCCAGGGGAGGCAAGGGAGGGGGGTGGGGGGGCATTGGGTGGTTTGGCAGTCACGAGATGCGCACAATAGAGCAGATAGAAACAGAACAGCAACATCAATCCTCAAAATAAATGATTGCGCGTTTGATGCGTTTCTGCTAAGCAGTGGATCACATCCTTGACGGGGGTGTTGGGGGTAATGACACAATTCATGCGTCTCGCTTTTTCATGTGTACGTGTACGAAAAACTTCAGTTTCAAATTATCATCGTATCGAACAAGAACTGAATTGTATGACAAGCCATCAGATGCCGCTGCACTCTGGGGAACCACGCGTGCTGCACGCGCCGCGGTGACCAGATGGCTCCCGGCCCCCTTCTGAACAGCCCCCATTCTCCCTCCTCCTTAGCCTGCGTCCACCCAAGTCAACCCATCCTGCAGGGCCAACATCCCAGCCACCACCATTCATTCCTTTCATGGCCATCGTTCGAACGGACACACCCGCACACACACGCACGCACGCACACACACGCACACACTGTCATTGAGTTGTGTCGATCTTTCTTGAACGCGCATGACACATGATCCCAAGCACTTTTAGCGTGGCTACCCCATCTGCATGTTTCTAATGATGTGCAACTGCAACGAGTCGTGAACACCCCCGACACATACACACGCAACACTGTGGAATACCCCTATGTGTCGCCTCTGCGTTGTGTTTTTCTTCGACGGCTGTTGGCGTCACAGGGAATCACGTGATGCCTGTTTTTGCATATTGTAAAAAAGAAAGATAGACAGACAGACACACAGACAGCAAGGAAGAAAGAAAGAAACAGACAGACAGGCAGGCAAGCAAGCAAAAAAGAAAGCATGTGATGTCGACTAACACGGACACCCTGATTAGGAAAGGTCAGAGCAGACTTTTCCTACTCAGGAAACTGAGGTCTTTTGGGGTTCAGGGGTCACTCCTTAAGACTTTTAAGACCTTCCACTTTTCCCCTCCTCTGTTGTGTTGGCAGTGTGTTTTGGCTCATTGTCTTGTTGCACGATGAAGCTTCTCCCTATTAGATTGGACGCATTCTTCTCTAAATGATGGCTGATGCAAAAAAAAAAAAAAAAAGTTAATTTCATTAATTTAGTGGTCCAGTGGTTAGCGCGTCGGCTTCACAGTGCCGAGGTGCAGGGTTTGATTTCCGTTCCGGCCACGGTGCCGCCATAGCTGATATTTACTGAATTAAACGCTGCAGCGCTGCTTTGTCAGGTTTTTCATAGTATGACCACAAATCCATTGGTTGATTTTGTCTTATATAACAGTTTACATGCACTGCATTATTCTCTACAATGGCCTCGATGCAAAGATGAGCCCTTTGAGAAGCACACTCGCTGCACGCGCCCCTCATAGTCCCGCTGGGATGGGGAGATTAATGGAAGGGAAGGGTGAGGCAGGGGGGTCCCACCTCTTCTCTCATTCTATGTCGTCGGTTAGAGTCCCCTTTTGTCTTTTCAAGTAAATTGGGCGTCTGTAACCCATCTGCGCAGGCCGGATAACAGGGAGCCTTTGTCTCTCAAGGTCCCGACACTTCAGAGGAATTAAGAGTAACAGGCAGGTTTTGGGATGAGGGAGACGGCGAGGGACCTTTTTTCACAGTGTTGGTTTAAAGCTGCGTCTAGTTAAGAATGGACGAGGTACGAATAGAGACAAAACTGTTGAATTGCTGATGTAACCACCCATCCATCCATTTTCTGATCCGCTTCATCCTCACAAGGGTGTGCTGGAGCCTATCCGAGAACAAATGACGGCGTATTACAGCTGTCGGGGGGGAAAAAAATGGACGCTTGCGTGCGTCGAAAAACGGGGTCCAAGGACAGCCAGTCTCCTGTTCCAATCGAATCCACGCCACATCAAGTAAACCCAAGCCACGCTACTTCCAAATAACATCTGCTCGTAAATTTTGACAACAATAGTTTTGCATATGAGGTTTATGCAGTTCGAGCCGGAGGGGGCGAGGTCTCAATACCTGTGGGGTGTTTAGTGCGTCTCGCTGCCAACGCTATACACAGAGAGGCGCGGGTGCTGAAACCAAAAGGGGGCCAGGGGAGGCAAGGGAGGGGGGTGGGGGGGCATTGGGTGGTTTGGCAGTCACGAGATGCGCACAATAGAGCAGATAGAAACAGAACAGCAACATCAATCCTCAAAATAAATGATTGCGCGTTTGATGCGTTTCTGCTAAGCAGTGGATCACATCCTTGACGGGGGTGTTGGGGGTAATGACACAATTCATGCGTCTCGCTTTTTCATGTGTGGGCCAGGGGAGGCAAGGGAGGGGGGTGGGGGGGCATTGGGTGGTTTGGCAGTCACGAGATGCGCACAATAGAGCAGATAGAAACAGAACAGCAACATCAATCCTCAAAATAAATGATTGCGCGTTTGATGCGTTTCTGCTAAGCAGTGGATCACATCCTTGACGGGGGTGTTGGGGGTAATGACACAATTCATGCGTCTCGCTTTTTCATGTGTACGTGTACGAAAAACTTCAGTTTCAAATTATCATCGTATCGAACAAGAACTGAATTGTATGACAAGCCATCAGATGCCGCTGCACTCTGGGGAACCACGCGTGCTGCACGCGCCGCGGTGACCAGATGGCTCCCGGCCCCCTTCTGAACAGCCCCCATTCTCCCTCCTCCTTAGCCTGCGTCCACCCAAGTCAACCCATCCTGCAGGGCCAACATCCCAGCCACCACCATTCATTCCTTTCATGGCCATCGTTCGAACGGACACACCCGCACACACACGCACGCACGCACACACACGCACACACTGTCATTGAGTTGTGTCGATCTTTCTTGAACGCGCATGACACATGATCCCAAGCACTTTTAGCGTGGCTACCCCATCTGCATGTTTCTAATGATGTGCAACTGCAACGAGTCGTGAACACCCCCGACACATACACACGCAACACTGTGGAATACCCCTATGTGTCGCCTCTGCGTTGTGTTTTTCTTCGACGGCTGTTGGCGTCACAGGGAATCACGTGATGCCTGTTTTTGCATATTGTAAAAAAGAAAGATAGACAGACAGACACACAGACAGCAAGGAAGAAAGAAAGAAACAGACAGACAGGCAGGCAAGCAAGCAAAAAAGAAAGCATGTGATGTCGACTAACACGGACACCCTGATTAGGAAAGGTCAGAGCAGACTTTTCCTACTCAGGAAACTGAGGTCTTTTGGGGTTCAGGGGTCACTCCTTAAGACTTTTAAGACCTTCCACTTTTCCCCTCCTCTGTTGTGTTGGCAGTGTGTTTTGGCTCATTGTCTTGTTGCACGATGAAGCTTCTCCCTATTAGATTGGACGCATTCTTCTCTAAATGATGGCTGATGCAAAAAAAAAAAAAAAAGTTAATTTCATTAATTTAGTGGTCCAGTGGTTAGCGCGTCGGCTTCACAGTGCCGAGGTGCAGGGTTTGATTTCCGTTCCGGCCACGGTGCCGCCATAGCTGATATTTACTGAATTAAACGCTGCAGCGCTGCTTTGTCAGGTTTTTCATAGTATGACCACAAATCCATTGGTTGATTTTGTCTTATATAACAGTTTACATGCACTGCATTATTCTCTACAATGGCCTCGATGCAAAGATGAGCCCTTTGAGAAGCACACTCGCTGCACGCGCCCCTCATAGTCCCGCTGGGATGGGGAGATTAATGGAAGGGAAGGGTGAGGCAGGGGGGTCCCACCTCTTCTCTCATTCTATGTCGTCGGTTAGAGTCCCCTTTTGTCTTTTCAAGTAAATTGGGCGTCTGTAACCCATCTGCGCAGGCCGGATAACAGGGAGCCTTTGTCTCTCAAGGTCCCGACACTTCAGAGGAATTAAGAGTAACAGGCAGGTTTTGGGATGAGGGAGACGGCGAGGGACCTTTTTTCACAGTGTTGGTTTAAAGCTGCGTCTAGTTAAGAATGGACGAGGTACGAATAGAGACAAAACTGTTGAATTGCTGATGTAACCACCCATCCATCCATTTTCTGATCCGCTTCATCCTCACAAGGGTGTGCTGGAGCCTATCCGAGCCCTCTTCGGGCAGTAGGCGGAGGACACCCTGAACCGGTGGCCAGCCAATCGCTGGGCACACAGAGACAAACAACCATCCACGCTCACACTCACACCTCAGGACAATTTGGAGTGCCCACTCAACCTGCCACACATGTTTTTGGAATGTGGGAGGAAACCGGAGTACCCAGGAGAAAACCCACGCAGGCACGGGGAGAACATGCAAACTCCACACAGGAAGGCCGGAGTGGGAGTCGAACCCTGGACCTCTCCACTGTGAGGTCAACATGCAAACCACTCGATCACCGTGCCGCTCACAGATTAAAAACAAATGATTTAAAATACAACAGACCATGACATGAAGTTGCGATTATTATTATGCATTGACTGTAGTTTTAAGGTGTAATATCACAATTCACCTTCATATGGCAAACATGGCTTAGCTGCAGTTACACCGTGACTTAGACTGCCCTTTACTACAACATAAGCAGGATTATTTATCATTATGCAGGACAAACACAGTACCTCAATAATATTAACATTTTGAGTGTGTTGATTTTTGTGGGCAAAAAATAAAAATAAAAATGCGCAAAATGAA